GATGGTGGTTTTCGGTTTGTGATGCCAACAGAGCAGAGCGCAAAATCGGCTTCGCAGGAAGCGGGGTACCGCGATACCTCAGCCAGTCAACGCCACGCTTTGCTATTTTTTTTTTTTTTTTTTTTTCACTCGGTGCTAGCAGCAACAGCAGCGCTATACTGCAAATCTCAACGGCCTATCTCGTGCACTGGAAGTTTTTTTCAAGTCACTTATTTTTTCTCCGCAGGTGCTACAGCGACTCCAGCCTAGGCTCCCATCTCTAGCCCTCCGCTATCTCTACCTCGCTAGGCAGTCAGAGGGGCTGGTGATAGGCCCAGATGGGCAGATGTGGCGAAGCTGCGGTTGCTGCATGCGTGCTAGCAGCCAGTCAGCGAGCCACTACCAAGCTTTTTTCTGCGAGACGCCAGGGCCTCTGTTTGCCCGCAGAGTGGGAAAGGGGTCTCTGCTTCTTTTCCTTGTTTCTTCTCCATATCGACGTTAGCATGATGCGGAGATTTTCTCTACGGTACCAGTGCCTTGTCACGATTTTGGTCTAGTCCGGCCGCCCGGGGCAGCGCGGAGAAGATCTAACATGTCATGCTCGCAAGGGGTCTAGAGGCCGTGGTCTGATGGTTCCTGTATGTCAATCACTATAATCATCTTCCGAGGTCCCTGAGGTTCAATTCGAGAGCCCCGCGGTTTCCCCCCTCAATCCAGAGAGAACCCCTCCATGGCGCGCCAAGCGATGCCCTCTGCGTACCTGCACCTTGCAATCGCAGCGGCAAGGTACTCGGCACCTAACTGCATCTTTGGCTTTTAGCGGGTTGGGGTACCTTGATCCTGGTTAAGCACCTGTACTGCACTAACAACAATGACATCAACCGATTGAGTGGCAACAAACTGACACTTCAAGTTTGCAACAATTCTCCTTCATGTGACGTTGATTCATCAAGACAAGTGCATCCACACACTGTCAGTCCCCTGGTATTTACTGTAACATGCCGTAACAACAAAAGGAAAAACAAATCATCAGAAGCAGTTGGTCCAGTCCTAATTTATATGAACATTTTGAAGCTCCTCTCCGACAATTTGGCAGCCGAATCCTCTCTTCTCCAAGCCGCAGCCGCCGTCTTCCCCTTCGCCACCGCTTCCCTCTCACCGAACACAGACACATCGCCCTCGCTCAGCATCGAGATCGCACTCGTCGACCGCATCGGCCGTATCGTGCTCTTCCGCTCGTCCTCGCCCCACTTGCTGGGCGACATGAGCTCGAGGCTGCGCCGCTCCTCCAG